TAAAAAAAAAAAAAAAAGGTAAATCAAGAGATACCTCGATCACACAGGGCAGCTTAAGGTGGACGCAACAATCGTAAATCTCGGTACAGGTAGGGTTTTCACATGCTTTGCCGGCATTAATCCGGCGGCCCTCAGCTAGGGTCTTCTTCGAGTTTATGTAAATTGGGTAAAGGATTACCCATTTCTTGATATTCTGCATATCCACATCCATCTTTCTTCTGAATTCCAGAAAGAAAACCGAAAAAAAAAAAAATGGCTACAAAAATTAGATCAAACCCCCCCAATGAATAATAACCGAGTGAAAATGGGCAAGGTTCACCCCCATGTAGAAGATGAACGGACAGATGTATCCAACTGAATTGTACGATTTCAACTTGTTAACCAACTAATGGCCCATGTAAGTAAATAGCCCTTTACCCATTAACAAATGTTCACCCAGAGTAGGCCCAAAATATATAAATGACCCGATATTCAATGGCGACATTAGTCTTCCGGAAAAAATTGTTCATGTTCCTCTATATATAATATATAATTTCCGAATGTACTGATCATACGTGACAGATTCGCATGCTTTGAGATCTTGTAGCAAGTTTTTAAATTTTTTTGTTTGGCTTGGATAAATTTTTATTTATTTTCAATCCAAAAGTAATTAGGCTTGGAATATTCATAAGTATACTAGATATTTATGGTACTTTTAAAGAGTATTAATTATGCTTTAATATCATTTCCTATTGTAGATCTGATTTATAAGGTATATTTTTTGTCTCGATCTTTTTCTTTTTAAATATAACAAATTTACTAACTTAAATTATAAATATATTTGAAAGTTAATAAATTTTTTATCTATTAATTTTTTTTATTTATAATATATCAAATTAATCATGTCTTGATTAGCTTTGATTTGACTTCTATATTATAAATACAAAATAAATAAATAATTTTATTTATATTTATAATTAAAATTAAATTATATATTAATATTAATTCATAAAAAATTAAATTATTTAAACTAACTTAACTACAAAGTAGTTATCTAATATAAATTTGTTGTCGTATGAATTTGTAACGACATCATTAACGTAGCTAATACATAAATGATCTGATCTTCGCGCTTTCATAAGTGGAGGCTTTCTATTGCTTGACGTTAGGGGACTTAGACCTACCCTTGCTGCTATAGAGCAGGAACCTTTTTTTAGGGGGGGTCAAAATCTTCTATGAAATATTAAAACGATAAATGACGATAATATGAGAATTTTATTAATTATTGAGTGGTCGGTGTGTTGTAACCGAGGTGAAAATAATACAGGGCTATCTCAAGATCTCCTCCTTCCATTGAGGGAATTCCAGGCTATATATAGTAACTTTTTGGATACACGTCGTTCGAGATCTCCAATCATTCAGGATTTGTGCGAAAAGTAGCTGTAAATGCGCGGTTTGGACAGTCGGGCCCACGATCATCATGATGTTGGGCACGAGATGTAAGGAGGTCGCGTAGGCGCCTTGTCACCTGCTTCGATATGGATGGACTCGGTTTCTTCCGAGGTGGGGTGTGGCGTCGGTAGACGGTGGTAAGATTTAAGGAAGTCGGTGACTGCTTGAAGTCAGAGAGGGCTTGGAAGGTGGGTTCTGATAGTCTGTCACGTCGGTGGGAAGGCGCAAGTACGAGGTCACGTGTTATTTGTTAAAGAAAAAAGCTTCTGGAGCGGTCCGACGTCTTTATCATTGTCTTAAACTGTTGTCATTGCGGTTGCATTATTCGTAACCTGATATACTCGGAATAATCTGCGAATTACCAAGTCGGTGGTCAACAAAATTAAAAAAAAAAAAATTATAATATAAGATGGTAGTGTAAGTGACGGTGTGCAGGGGAGCAAAATTTTCGCAGAATTAATTTCGTATAAGAACACAAAATATAGCGGAAGCACAAATAAACAAAATTTTATTCGGTAAGCGTCCCACTATCCCTCAAAATTCATCCATCACTAAATAGTTGCATCCCATAACGTTTAGCTTGGATTTACACGTAAATGACTACTTTAAAACCTACCAACACTATACCCCAATTCACTAGCAAGTTTTCTGGCCAAACTGGTGGACTTAGAAGCGTTTCTTGAATTCCCCTTAAGCTAGACAACACTTACTAGGCTCCAAACTGGTAACAGTGTAGAAACACATTTTTTTTTTAAGTTTAGATTCACAATCTATGACAATCGAAAGCATTCAATGATCTCCCAACATGTTTTCCTCTTCGAGAATGTAATGTTAAAGCTTCTAATGCCAGGTTGTTGTTCGTGACCATTCCTTGATTGCAAAGATTTCTTCGATACTCCATATGTTCCAAATCTTCTCAAGGAATGTGTTTCCTTCAGTTTGACTATTCAACGATACGAATATCTTCAGATACATAGGCATTCCAAAATTGATGTAAAAACGCATTTTTCATTATGTGAGGATTCTCCAAATTTGACTACATCTTCAGTGCATCTGCAGTAGAAAAATATGAGTTTTATTCTTATTAGATGAAGAGAGAAAGAAAGGGGCCGTGGAATCGAAGAGTTGGGAGAGATTCAACTATATACAACTTGTTGGTGAATGAGAAAGTATGAAAAATTATTTCTTTCTTTCCTTATTTTTTTTTCTCTTGAACCATTATATGTTACTTGTAGTTTGTTTACTCATTAGAAATTACATAGCTTGTGTATCATACTTATCAACTGAAGACACGAGATGTTATTTATTTTATTTATTTCAATGGCGGATTTTGTTGAAGTTTGCAGCTTTCGAACTCCGTATTACATACATAGCATATAGTATATATGATTTGGTCTTACAAGGCACTTAATTAAGGTAGCTGTCTAAACTCATTTAAGTGCATAAAACACCATTATAATCACGTAAAACCACTCAATTCAACTTATGTGCACTAGTACGTAACCCGTGAGATGCACAGGATATAAAATTTGGAAGAATAATATAACCTCACGTGCATTAGAATCGAAATTGAAATCATTAAAATACATAGGAACATTGTTGAATCATAAAAAGTCGGTAACAATCATATATTATTAAAAACCTCCTTGTACACAACATTATGAGTTTGATTATTTGGTAACTCCTCATTATCACAAACTAATATTTTCAAAAGAGACAAATCCTAAAAATCAAACTAATATTTTTGGTGAACAAACTAATATTTTAGGATTGGTGAACAAACTAATATTTTAGGATTTCTAAGATTTGTCTCTTTTTGGTGAACAAACTAATATTTTAGGATTGGTTATATGAATAAGGCTACCTGTTTTTGGTGTTCTTTTCATTCATTTTCATTCAAACAATCCAATGACTTGTATAATGAAATTCGAATCTTAAGCCGAAATATTTTAAAAAAAGAGTTTTTAAAAATTGAAAAGTCAAGGCAATCAGTTCAGATTAATTAAAAGTCAAAGAATATCCGCTCCTTGAAATAAAAACGTGTGCTATCATTAACCAAATATCCGGTTATTGATATAGAGTGGTTACAAAAAAATAGAACGCGTTAAGGACGCTTAATGGAAATATCAATAGGATAAGGTCATAACAGATCGCTATACATTCTAACGATAAAAGCTCATATAGAATGATTTATGATAATTATGTCGTAATTAAAGAATTAATTAGATGTGTGAAAAGGACATAATTAATGAGAAATGTGAAAAGGACAAAATCTTACCTGTTTAGAAAAATATTTAATACAAATCCGACATTGACCATAATTTGACCTACTATTTTGGATAAATGTTAATTCTTATTATATACTATTTTGAATAAATATTAATTCTTATTATATACGTATAGATTCGTTTGTTTAAACAAATCTGAATTTGAAATGTGAATTTCTAATGACTGAGTGTCCGAGCACTAGTGCTAAGTGACTAATAACTTTTGTTCGTGGCTACAAAATTATCTAATAAATTTAATTTCCATTGATTGGGAAATAATTAACATATCATAAAAGGCTAAAAGAGAAGAAATCGGCATCATCAAGTATCTTTCATAGTGGTCTCTTAAAAAGTTGGGGCAAAATAAAATATAAAATACTTTACAAAAAGTAGGAGGACCATATCAAAGAGTGGCTTCCATATCAACGTATGATTGAGCTTGATAATATTACGTTTTATATCTCCGAATCTGCTGCTCTTTATTGAGGGGAAATGAAATCTGCTTTTGAATCAGCCTAAGGCCCTAAATGCATTACTATATGGTTGATATATTTATATATATACCTCTCATAGGCATATAGATAACGCACGGCTAAACCTTACACTGTCATTCACTACTGTGCCCTCGTCTATCTATTTTCTCGGTTANCATGGGTGCATTTGAGGTGGTGTTAAATATATTTTGATTAAAGTGAGTGTAATATTGGAAACTACATATACATATATACAAATTCATAAATTATTATTTAGATTATGATAACTACAAAATTTACGTTTGAAATATTTGTAAGAAAAAATTAGTTTTGTACCGATTTAATGATTCTACTTTTCGCAAGTAGAAAACTTAGGAAATTCTCAAAACCTTTTTAAGGTGAATGAGAAATCAATTCTAATGGCATGATTGGTAGGAAGGAATGACATGGGAATGGAATGATTCTCTTACTCATTCCTTATCCCATGATTGGTATATTTTTTGAGAAGGAATGACCATTCCAACGAGAATGACAAAACTCATCTCTATGGGATTAGCCATTCCATAGTAAATGGAAGGTTTTCTCATTCCCATGTGTATAGAAATCAATTTTTTTTAAAAATAAAATTAACAAATAATAATAAAAAATAAATATATATTATATATGATAAATCATAATTAAAATATATTAAATAAGATTATTTTAAAAAAAATCGAATAAAAAAATTGAAAACTTACTTTTATTTATTTTTTAATTAGTATATTAAATACTTATATAAAAATAAAACTAAAAAAAGCATTTATATATAATTTAAAAATATATTATTTTATTTTTATATATTATTAAAAATATATTATTTTTATATTATTAAAAAATATATTATTTTATTTTTATATATTATCAATAATCATTTATATATAATTTATTAAAAGTATATTATTTTTTAAAACAAGCTTTTATTTATTTTTATAATAAAAAATGATAATGTCATCTCACTCCAGTCTTATTACTTCTGCATACCAAACGCATCAATGACAAAACATGCTTCATTTCATTCCAATAATCATTCCATTATTCAATTCATTCCATTCCTACGAAATTCCATTCCATCATACCAATCATGCCATAAGTGTTATATGTTAATTAATTGAGTTTAAATAACTCAAAGGTTGTAGGGTCCACAAACATTCTATTTTGACATATGTTTG